CCGCGTGGACAGCTGCTATACAATAATACATTTCCATTTACCTCCTTCTCTATATCCATACAAAATATCTATCAAACAAATAAAATTAAAATTTTCTTTTGAAAAATGAAACCATTCCATCAGTATTTTCTTATGAAGTTGTCACGTTCAACTATCGTTAGTAAACCGACTTTACAGACAACCGATTTTTTTTTTTACATTAAACAATTTATAGATATTCTTACAAACGAGACGTTGCTAAGTCAGCTTGATAACGAATTCAACAAATACGCTCCAGTTATGCTTGTCTATGAGCAAAATACTCAAAGGTCCCAAATAATAAGCGATGCACTTAGGAAATTTTATTTAGGGGACGGACCAATAAATAACTCATCATTTACGGGACTCGGACAGGTTGGTAAAACAATTTACACTTATCCAAATTAAGAAAAATATAGTAAAATAAAAACATATTTACAATAGTACTTGTTGAATATCTCCTAATTTTAGCTACTAAATGATGGTCTAACTGGATTTGGAATAAACAGAGCTGTAAAAGTATTTTCAGCAAAGAACAGCCAGCCAGTGTACTATTACGAATTTACTTATCAAGGACGTTACAGCCATGTCTATCTTCCTGGCACAAACAATACTGTGCCTTATGGTAAGTCTGTGGTTTATCATCAGATTCATTTAGGAGTGTTGTAGTTGCTAATGTGTATACCGTATCTTCGTATCAAAAAAGTTAAACGCTTTTGAGTGTTGCATTCCAACCAGCTACTAATGTTGGTGGGCAGGAGGCAGTTCCTGCGGAAGGCCCTGTTTAGTCTCCTTTAGGAATCGTAATAATGGGTGGGTAATTTTTAGGGTAAGGAAGATGAGATGGACGAAATGAAGACAGAAAAAGTGAAAGATTATATATGGAATATTATTGCTTCAACTTTTCTGTAGTTTCTTTGAATCACCTAGGCAAACCCCAGAATCAAACGTGCGTGACCTTCTGCCAAATGCTGGGTATGCTGGGCAGTGGTCTAAACCTCTAGACTATGTCGCTCCGTCACCGTCCAAACCAAACACTTATTCTCGTTTACTTAAAACTTTTATTTCAAAATACCTTTTAAAGAGAACAAAATTGAGTTTTGAAACTGGAAAGAAACAGAACTTAATAGCTGAACAAAACTCGGGCGTCACCGTTTAAAAAACGGAAAAAACTCACTAAAGTGTTAAATTACCTTGCGGTAGTAAGAAAAATTAACGAGACGTCCATTTTTAGGGCTGTTTCATAGAGCCATTTCCGGTAGCGCTTCAGCTGTAGGAACATGGCCATCTAAGACAAATCAACTGGATGTTGTTAAAAGACAAGCGAGGGTTGTTGGCTGCCCTGACAATACCACCTCTGCTGAAATAATTAAATGTCTGAAAACCATTCCGGCAGATGTACTTGGTACTTCAGTACCAAATTTAAAAGTAAATTATAACACCTGAACATCTTAAGAATGTAATAATAAGATTATTTTTTCTAGGTGTTTGGTTATCATCCGATTTTGATTTGGGAACCGGTAATGTTTCAGCTTGGAAGGTAGGATAATTTTGGACCCAATAGGTGGTCTTATTGTCGAAATCTATTTTTTTTTGTATTTTTTTCAACGAAATATTTTTTTTAATTGTTTTCTTGAAATGAAACGAAAGTGATATCTCTTGCTATTCGTCTTCATTGATTTACANAATGGAACGCAAGGGAAATCCCATTGAGTTGGAGAATTCTAGTGGAAATTCCATTCATCCCATTGGCAATTCTCCATTTGTTACCATTGATTATTATCGGTGGCAATTAAATTCCATTTTTTTATAAAATGGAAATTTTTCCTATTGGCATCTTACGGGAATACTCTGCTAATGTTTAGTTACTGTCAATCTTACATGAAATGTTCCAAAGTTTTTTGAGAACTTTCTAGTGGTACTTATTATTTACTACATATGATCAAGGTGGGGTAGTTATGCACGACTAATCCATTATAAAACGCATTAAAAGGAATTATTTAAACTCAGATACATATTTAACGTTCTGTTTTACCAAATTTTCATTTGACACGTCATTAGATTATCCAACAGTTTTATGCCGTAATTTTTTTTTGACGTGACAACGTCTTATAATTCGATGGAGCCGGTTGCACGTACGAAAAAACATGACTCATGCGGCGTTACCTCGCTCTGAGGCGTTCCATTTAAGGCTTGAAGTGCAAGCGAGAGCGCGGAACGAGCGATAAAGAGGCACAATCGGCCTCCGCGTTCGGCAGCTTTCGACATCTGTCTCTCTCCTACTTGAGTGAGCGATGCGTCCGCGTGGACAGCTGCTATACAATAATACATTTCCATTTACCTCCTTCTCCATAACCATACAAAATATCTATCAAACAAATAAAATTAAAATTTTCTTTTGAAAAATGAAACCATTCCATCAGTATTTTCTTATGAAGTTGTCACGTTCAACTATCGTCAGTAAACCGATTATACAGACAACCGATTTTTTTTTTTACATTAAACAATTTATAGATATTCTTACAAACGAGACGTTGCTAAGTCAGCTTGATAACGAATTCAACAAATACGCTCCAGTTATGCTTGTCTATGAGCAAAATACTCAAAGGTCCCAAATAATAAGCGATGCACTTAGGAAATTTTATTTAGGGGACGGACCAATAAATAACTCATCATTTACGGGACTCGGACANAATCTACACTTATCCAAAAGGAAAGAAATACATACTTGTAATAATATTTATTGAATTCTTCCAAATTTTAGCTGCTAAACGATGGTATCATTGGATTTGGGGTAAACAGAGCAGTAAAAGTCTTTTCAGCAAAGAACAGCCAGCCAGTGTACTATTACGAATTTACTTATCAAGGACGTTACAGCCATGTCTATCTTCCTGGCACAAACAATACTGTGCCTTATGGTAAGTCTGTGGTTTATCATCAGATTCATTTAGGAGTGTTGTAGTTGCTAATGTGTATACCGTATCTTCGTATCAAAAAAGTTAAACGCTTTTGAGTGTTGCATTCCAACCAGCTACTAATGTTGGTGGGCAGGAGGCAGTTCCTGCGGAAGGCCCTGTTTAGTCTCCTTTAGGAATCGTAATAATGGGTGGGTAATTTTTAGGGTAAGGAAGATGAGATGGACGAAATGAAGACAGAAAAAGTGAAAGATTATATATGGAATATTATTGCTTCAACTTTTCTGTAGTTTCTTTGAATCACCTAGGCAAACCCCAGAATCAAACGTGCGTGACCTTCTGCCAAATGCTGGGTATGCTGGGCAGTGGTCTAAACCTCTAGACTATGTCGCTCCGTCACCGTCCAAACCAAACACTTATTCTCGTTTACTTAAAACTTTTATTTCAAAATACCTTTTAAAGAGAACAAAATTGAGTTTTGAAACTGGAAAGAAACAGAACTTAATAGCTGAACAAAACTCGGGCGTCACCGTTTAAAAAACGGAAAAAACTCACTAAAGTGTTAAATTACCTTGCGGTAGCAAAATCGGTTGTTCCCTGTGTCAACCTGACCACCTAGAGCAGGGGTCGGCAAACTTTTGAGTCGGAAGAATTTCAAGGTTTTTAAAGAGCCGCAAAATTTTTTCTTGCCAAAAATACTCGCATTTATATAAAATTTTTTGATAAAAAACTATTCTATTTATTCATAAGAAAAGGTATCTGTTTATTTACAACACTAACTTGTACTTCAATAGCAAACAATTGAACAAACAAATTGAATGGGAGCCATGGCTTTGCATGGTTATACAAGTAGAAAATTTAAACTTTACTAAACAATGTAACTTGTAGTTAAAATAAAAAAAAAGAACAATAACATACTTTCTAGACAAATTCAATGGGAGTGTTGGCTTTGCATGGTTTTAGAGAGTTTGGATAAATTTGGCTCATAACTTTCATAAGTTTCAAACACGACTCTAAATTTTCCTTTGTGAGTTGGCTTCTTACTTTACTTTTAATTATATTCATGCAAGGGCTTGGTCGCACGGATATGTCGGTCTGAAGATAGTCAGCATTCCAAATGTCAACTTCTTCACCTTTCTATGACAATCTGGAATTGGGATGCGATGAAAAGCGAGTAAAAGTGGCTGAGAGATAGAATCAGTGTCTAATTTTCGTTAATCAATTCAGAACAATTTTAAATGTTTTTTTTTTTTGATAAAATAAACATTTTCGTATGGAAATAAAGAGCCGCAGCTTCACATCCAAAGAACCGCATGTGGCTCGCGAGCCGCAGGTTGCCGACCCTTGACCTAGAGAGTTGGAAATTCTCTTTATCAAAATGAGCAACACATATAAATGTATATTGAAATATTAATAATAATCAAATATAAAAAGTAATATAACACCAGAAAAATAAAGTGGGTAAAAAAACACAGTTAAAACGTAAAAAAACAATACCAAAATATAAAAATTTGGTGAACAATTCACAAATCAAGAAAAAGGTCGTAAAAATAAACTTAAATCTACGTTAATTGATACATTGAAGAGAAAGTCTCAGGTTAATGGGGTAGTTACGTCACTAATCCATAAACTATCACTTACTCAAATCAAGCACATGGGTCCAGATGCCAAAATTGTTTCTTTTTCGGAAAAATCGGGTAAACCAGCAATCGCTGGCTCAACAGTAACTACACGAATTCAAAAGGATGCGCTTGGAGATGTTGCGCGATATTGCGAGATACAAAACACAAGTACTTTCTTTTGGTGGGTGGTTTTAACTTCAAAACCCTGGTGGTCCGAACGGCAACACGGATCAAACTCCAAAAGGTATCATGGATCAAACACCAGATTAAAATAGACCAAGCAAAAGGGAGTCGGATTACACCAAACATTCGCTGGATCAAACACCAAAACAAAGTACTGGCCCACTGAGGGTTGAAATTACCAAAGATTAATCATTGGAGGTTGGCCAATGGGGTTTCTTAACAGCACTTAGTGGGCCACAATAACTTTGCAAAACTGTATCTAATTTCACAAGAAAAGTACTACCCAGAAATCTGGAGCAGTAAGACATTAAAAATTGCCCTCAGAAAATCAAACATCAAAACTGAGTGTTCGCCCGTCGGGAAAACAGTGATTTCCCCGCACGGCATCCAGAACGGATTTACCTCTGTAAAGGAGCCCCTAGGGTTCCAACCGTGAAGATTGCATGATTGAAGATGTGAAACTATAACATTCTAATCCGTTCTTATTAACTTCGTTTATAGTAGGCTGAGTCGTCGAATCGACATATTTTAAAATGCTACAGTTAGCAGTAACTATCAGTAGAGGGAGGTATACTGCCTATACCTTGATATAAATAGTAATTGTAAAAATGATGAAAAATTGAGAAATTTGCGGTATTAATGATGACAGACACCCATATCTATCTCTTTCTATTAGTATTAACTTAAAGTTTCCTCGAGAGTGCTTCAATTCATACCGGAAACTTAAGAAAACAAGTTGTAACAAATATTAATATTAGAGGTTATTTATTATTATATTCTGTTTTAGGTGTAGTTCATCACGACGACTTGATTTATTTGTTTTACATTTCCACGCTCTTCCCAAAATTCACAACTAACGATCCCGAATCAAATACTGTCGACAAGATGATTAAAATGTGGGCAAACTTCGCCAAGACTGGGTAAGATATTCAAAATCATATTGTGTATTAAGTATTAGCTTACTCTACAGTTTACAGCTAACGTCTTTATTCGCGTGAATGAATTCGTATAGAATCGTGGCCACTTAAACTGAATAATATCTAAGTAAATTACATAGGATAGTGAGTATTCACAAGCATTCAAATACCGAGATGAAATAACAGTTTAGGTTTAATATCTTTATGAAAGAATCGTTTGCGTAGGTCTACCCATGTCTGAGATTGGTTCATATCAAGAACAGACAGATAAACAGATAATAATTTGCAAAGTGTTTGTTTAGATTTATACCTACAGAAATTAGAAAATGTGTAAAGTGTTTTCAAAAGCATTATTTATCTTAACACTAGTTATTTAATAACTATAACTATCTTTTAATAGGTGCCCTGTTTGTCTCGATATACTTTATAAGTAACTTATTCAACACACAGACGGTTTATATGTAGTTATTTCTTTTTGCTTGTTTTTACATACTTTTATATCATCATTTCTACTTCTCGTACGTCCACTATTTGTTTAAGTCATAGGGAGGTATCTCTTCGGGTGCTGGCTCTTATTTATTCGGTTATTTCGAGAAACTTCTCGTAAGTTCCGCTGGTTCGTAACTATCGATCCTCACGTACTTCAAAAGTGCCATTCATATCGATCGCTTGCGGCATTTGTTTATAACGATAAATGTATTAGTGTAACCTAAAAGACCCAATCGATTTGTTTCATCTCTAAATGTACGTATAATTTTCAGAAACCCAATTCCTCAGCCAACATCCCTTCTAGACGACGTCACATGGGCTCCTTTCACTGAACAAAATGGCAAATACATGAAGATTGGGAAAAATCTTGAAATGGATAAGTTTCTAAATGCAAAAAGGTACAAAGTATGGGAAGATGTGCTACCACTTCCACCTGCTTCCAACAATAGAGCACAGCGATAAATTGCCAAAATTACTTAAGCGTATATGTATTACGTAGTACATTCTCGTACAGTAATAAATAATGCAATAAATATTCGCTACAAATAGTTGTTTTTATATTTTATGCTTGGTCCGAAATACTATTAAAGGGGCCTCAGAAATTACGACCTGTGACGTCACTGAAGTGGTATTTGGAACAGAGTGAAAGTCAGTTATTATTAGAAGTGTCATGCTCTTGTCATGCGCGTGTCGTGCTCTTGTCGTCAGAATCGTCTATGCACAGTTTTACATAAAATTCATTATCATCATCATAAGATCGTCAGTTCTAAGACTGGTTGAACACGCACCTCCACTGTTTCCTATCCTGAGCTAATCTTAGCATTTCCCTAAAACTACAACAACCCGCATCCTAAACTATTTGACAACAGTAATCTAATCTAGGTCTACCTCTACCCCTCCTAACTCCCGTTTCTACCTTTAATATGTCTCTGACTAGACCTTCATGCCGGGGCGGCCTTTGGGGGTGGCGAACAGGGCAAACGCCCGGGGCCTCGCTCTTGCAGGGGCCTCGCACACTCGCGCAGTCTAATTAGAAAAATATTAGGTAGTAATAGTACATACTACTAATGTTTGTTTGAATTTCTTAATAGTCTTAAAAGAAGCCGCAAATTTGCTATCTTTGTCTTTATCAATTTTTTTTAATTTTCGATAAACAATTTTAAAACTGTAAACTTATTTATGAATCACTTTTTGCATTTTTCAAGTATCATCATTAAAATTAATTCCACAAAGA